ATGTCGTAATGAACCACCAAATTTTCAGAGAATGGTGTACTAGTAAAAATTTATCATATCTAAAATTTTTATGTCGTTATGACGTAATATGACGTCATTATGACGTCATTAATGTGATTTTATTGGCCAAAACCGTCTAAATAGGTTTTCCCCTTAAAACTAAATGGTATTCAACATAACTGTACCAAAAGTGTTTATGACAGAACATTATGGTGTACTTAGTCTTATGTTGCCCATAGCAACACTGGTGACGTCATAAAATGACGTCATGCATATTTAAGATATCCGCCATCTTGGATCCTCAATCTTGAATTTTCAAAAATAGTTTTTTTTTCATGATAAAGCCTAAAATACATTATAAACATACTAAAGACCTTCATTTAAACCGTTTTTGGAAAAAGAAATGTAAGTATTGATGAGATTTTAATGAAAATAACCTGTATATACCTGTTCTAATGATATGGTCCGCCATCTTGGATTTTGGCCAATGACGTCATCAAATTTGCATAAATTATGCATATTTAATGATAAAATTTACATAAAATTATATGGGATGTTATTAATATTAGAAACCATGAGTAACTTGACATGAAACCCATAAAATTCTATTGTTGAAACAAAAAGTACTAATTTTAGCAAAAAATGCCTGTCAGAAACCCGTTGCCATGGCAACACAAAAAATTACTATTTTATTCCAATGATAGAGAATTGTTGCCAACAATATTCTAGGAAAAGTCACCAAGTTTGGCCGTTCTACGGCTAGCCGTTCAGACGCTAGGTGACATCAAAGTTGCCGCGGGCACTTTTAGCCCCCCCCCGGTCTAGGTAGGGTTAAGAACTCAGTACATTGTACATACATACAATGCTGATTCATAAATTCCGCAAAAAGCCGGCTTATCGTATACGTCGCCATGTACTGTCGCGAATTCATAATACCTGCTTTGCATTCCTTTGGTTTAGTAGCATTTTTATTTTTATTTTTGGCCGGGATTTGTTTGTATTCGCCCGCGCGCAATAGTTTGGGGGTCTTCAGTGGATGTCATTCATAAAATTAAATTGGTGTGGCCTGATAGTCGAGGACACGAGCGTCTGCATTACACTTACGATGAACCTGGTTGCCCGCCTTCAATCAGACATCCATGGAATTTTTTTGGCACATGGCACAAAGGCTCTTACGTGTACTTTTAGTATGTAAGATACTAACACTTTTCCAACTGCTGCTGTGTCAACTATCTCTGTTGGCTATAGGTAAACACTCGCACAACTGAACAGCTACAGAAAACAAGCACTTCATTACCACGAACGAGACAGAGCTCCCTGAAGCTACCAGTAAATAAAAACAACCAGCCAACCAACCAACTAACTAACCAACCAAACATTAAAGCAACCAAAGACCTACATGCAACTCCCATAAGGCCACACCAATTTAATTTGTTATTTCTCGGACTTTTTTCAGGAAAAAAATGAAGCGACAGGGCGAAATAAAAATTAAATAAACAGTCCAAGGCACCCCATGATAGCCGGAAATCTTACAATATGAGCCATGAAGTCAACATACCAGGCTGGTTTATAATTAAAACAGTAGATTTTGAACTATATAATAATGAAACAAAGTTGCATTGTTACAATTGAAAAACTTTAACAACTGGAAAGAAAATGACTTTCTTCAACCATTGGGGGTCAAAATATGTCTTTTATGAGCATTTTGCAGTTGATTTAGAACCTACAATTTTTTTCAGAAAAAAATGGACAGGGTGAATCCGATAAACAACAAATTAAATTGGTGTGGCCTAAACAAATAGCTTTTGAAACCAATCGATGGCGAGAATGCAAAATTTTCCGCTGAGCGGCGTGCTGACCTACTCCTGAATAGCACATCAGCCAACCATGGCCGAACACCACTAAGGCAACAGCAAATAAATTTTATGGATGACATCCTCCGCAGACTCCAAATCTATTGCGAGCTGGCGAAAAAAACAAGACGGGCCGAAAAAAACAAGGCGGGCCGAGAAAAACAAGGTTCCTACATTTTATAATTTTGACTCAATCATTGTAGCAATGGTTTTGATTCAATGGGAACATCACATATACACAGCCAACATCACATATTACTGCATCAAAGTAAAAAAAAAAATTAAATCAGAGCCTTTCTTGTCTCATCTCTTCATAGTTTATATCTGCCATCCACGTTACGGCATGGCAACAGACATCTTTGCCCATTTCCAGCATGTTGACCACTGTCAGAGGGAAACAAAATCTCTTGTTTTTTTCCAAAACCGGGTGAAAATTAATGCTAATTGATGTCATCCATAAAAAATTACTCGCTGTGGCCTAACCCACAGCCGACCTTGCTCCCGATCACCTGCTAAGGCCATGTTGATTTGATTACATGGATGACATCCTCCGGGAGCCCCAAAACTGATGCGCATGTGCGAATAAAAAAAGTTTTGCAAAAAAAAGTTATTTTCATTATGAAATCTACGTGGTCATGAGGGTTGAGCAAATGGCACAGAATATGGTTTGGCGAATAATCTAGTCTTCAAGTTCATTTCTTTACAATTTCGTCTTTTTTCGTTTGATTTTGGCATGCTACGACATTGGTATAGTTTTTATTTATTATTTATTTTGTAACTTATGGTATATTTTTGCTCATTTTGCAACTGTTTTGTACGATTTACAGTATGGTTGAAAACTTTTTTTTTTTTGGAAACGGCCGAAAATTCATGCGCGCGCGGATGTAATAATCAAATCAACATGGCCTAACCATGGTTTTCGGAGTTCGGGAGGTCATATTCGGCTTTGTGTAATGTGGGATTAAGGTTATGCCTTACAATGGACACGATTCATCGCGTTATATGAAGCCGAATCCGGCTTTATTTAGGTTTAACACTCTATGTAACTACTTTGTGTTCCCTCGTTCCCTCCTCACAATATAATGGTACAGTCCACGTCGATAAAACAAACAAACTAAACAAAAGCGCGCGGGTCGCGTGGTTACCGCTACAATAACTAGGTCGGAAATCCCCCGGGACATACAGGTGAGGTTCGGACAGTAGTAGACGGGTGTCCAGTCTTATCGTGGTTTGGGCGGACTCTCTTCGGGACTGACGGCATTTCCTGCCGCCCAGTTCAACTACGCTCCCCGATAGGTTTTGTAAGTTCTGTTTAGGGGGTAATGAAACCCCTGCCGTGTATAACTTTAGCCTGGTATCCAGTCTTACGTGATTGGGGGTGTTGGGGTGTTCAGGCAGGTTGTGCCTTCGGGGGCTCTAATAGCTTCCCCCGCCCAGTGCAACAGGCCGTCCCGCTAGGAGAGTTACGCTAATAAGAGACAGTATGCGCTTGGGGATTTGGTTTCCCCCAACACGATAGGGCTAATCAATCTCTCGTGAAATACACACCGGGAAACCTATGTGAGGCGGGCGGAACAGAGCTCTTTCGGCCCCGACCACGATCAGACTGGATACCAGGCTAGCGCCAGACAAGTTTACGGGCCGCTAACCGTTTCCTTCGGCAGCCAGAAGCCCTTCGCCCGCAGACCTAAATTACCGCTGCGGTGGGGTTGAGCCCGTGGGAATATTCCGCCTTGCAAGGGCCAGCCAAACTCCCCCGGGCTAGACTCCCCCGTAGCGGTAATTTAGACCAGCGGGCAAAGGGCTCTTGCGGCCCGGAAAGCGAGTTTGGCTTCCAGGGTAAGTCTATCGTGGTTTGGGCGTACTCTCTTCGGGCCTGACGGCATTTCCTGCCGCCCAGTTCAACCATGCTCCCCGGTAGGTTTTGTACGAAGTGAGTTCTGTTTGGGGGCAATGAAACCCCTGCCGTGTATAATTCCTACCGGCGTAACATATTGACCACTTTGAGAAGGCAACAATTTTTTTCCAAAATGAGGCGAAAATTAATGCGCGCGCTGATGTCATCCATAAAAATTACTTGCTGTGGCCTAATTGACAATTCGCGGGGATATCCTGCACAAACACATGAGTCACCGTGCCATGGATACAACAAACAACAACCAATCACTACACCAATCACTAGGCCACGTCACTGATCTATTTATAGCGCACACGTCAGCAAAATCCCCAGGTCTCAAGTGATCACGTGAAAAGCATTCCAACCCAAGGAAAACCTGCAAAACCTCGGCCTAATTAAAAACAGCCCTTAGACCTCAAAAGCACGTTATATGACGTTTTTGCAAACTGTTTAGGTGAGATTGAAAACTTTGCCAACCGGAACAGACAGTAGACTATGCATGACTATAAACTTACTATTTCAATGGAATATTTGGACGTTAGCATTGAATTTCAGACGTCGAACCTCTGCATATGCAAAGGAACCCAACATACTACTAGTTATTCTATCTCAGATCTGAGAAGAGTAGGGGAGAGCCAGTGCGCTTGGCTGAAAAAAAACGCAGGGCGCAGCGTTCCATTCCATGCATGCTGGTTAAATAAAAAAAGGAAGAACTATGCTTGGACTTTCGAGAAGGATGATGCTAAAATGAGAATACCTGCTTTTTGTTACAACAAGTTACTATATTGCACTGAGCATTTACAAGAACTTACTCTCCAAGCAGAGTTTTTAGATTTTCTTTGGTTTGGTGGGTAAAAGAAAAATTCCAGTGCAAAAAAGAAATCCCGATAAAAAAAAGCCTAAGAACACACTAAAAATACCCCAAAACCCAAACCTCTGCTTGGAGAGTAACAAGAACTGTCTGAAATGCAATGGCTAAAAAAACTTACCCAGAATTGCGAGCCGCAAAACTGGTCCAGTGATGAGCCGCCTTCCCAACTTCGGTTCATCCTAGCAGTCAAGAAAGTCTCCAACTGAAACTTCTGAAAGTCTGCAAGATTGCAAAGTGCCGAGGCCATCTCCCGCCCGCCCTCTTAAACCCACACGTGGTCGGTACACTTCAGAGGTGGGGAAACCCCGGTAAATATTTACGTCGCCATAGCTACGCCCCCATATTTGGAAAGTCTCGCCCGCAACTCTCGCGAGAATAGGCGACGAGACTATTCCTACATTTTTCTGACGGTAATAATGTTATGTGGAATACTAGTATGCCTCGATACTGAGAAAACAAGAGAACAAGCTAGAAAAAATAACCAGGGTTGAGGGCTAGTTAAGTTTGAGTTGTTATTTCAACGTTCTTTCGTTGAACGTTTTGTCGTGAAAATGAACAACGTTACCGTAAAATTGGCAGTGACAATTGGACAATTCAAGCGACTTTGGCTCTCTCACTAATATAGAGGCAGGTTAAAAAATATTTAGATCTTAAATTTCGATGACTGATTCTCGTTTTAGTCGGTTCAAATTCAGATCTAACACTGGCCCAAATTTCCCACTGTTACTGACTTATACCATGGAGGTAGAAAAAGTCTCTTAACACGATATTGCAAATCCAATATTCTTGTCATTTATCTACATAGTGAGTTGAAACCGCACTATCCCAGTGTACACTGACCCTCGCGGAGCAAAAATTCCCCAAATTCCGACGGAAAATGGTTACTGGAAGGGCCCTGGGCTGATTTTTAGGGTACCGCCCAGAAAATAAAGGACTCATTTTGGGGCTTGTTTCTGCAGTTTTAAATGCCCAAAGTATGAAATACTGATTTAAATTTACTAATGTGAAGAAGTATGTGTCAATATCACAAAGATTGCCGTATTCAGAATATTTTCAGTTTTGCTGCCCTAAAATCGCATTGGATGCCTTTAACTCCATGCTTCTACTAAAAATGCCTGCTTATTCATTCTTTGGTCGTATTCTCATTTTTCTTTTCAAAAGCAAAAAGCGCGCAGTCTGTTTTGTTTGCCTGTGATGTGATATGTTCGCCCTTTATCAATGTGTCGTGCAGTGCATTTGCCCTTTGCCCTAAATACTCTTTCAACAACCTAAGAAATTTAACTCCTGTCTCTGAGACTACAGTATGTGCATCTTACAATGTAGTGGGGTCGTGTGGCGTAGCGCAGAATGCTCGACTCGAATCAAGAGGTCCAGGGTTCGAGTCCTGACATGCCACCGATCTTGTGCCCTTGGGAAAGGCACTTAACACGACTTTCCTTACTTCGCTCAGGTGGAAATGAGTATTGTATTGTCCCCTGTGTTGGTGGCGGCATTAATATAAGTTGAAAAAACTTGAGTGTGCCGCCACGTCTGGTGATTAGATGTTGGAATATTAAGAAAAATATAGTATAAAATGATGAGGCTACTTCTTTAGGGCCAATGCACTCTCGGGGCGGCTAAACTAAATTGTTAAAGTCAATTTTCTGGTAATTCTGTTAATGCATTTTAATACATTCAAAGAATTACTAGAAAATAGACTTAAACGTTGACATCAAAGTTCACCTAAAGGTTAAATCGACGCTATTCCATAGGCACTGATATCTGTGTGGTGAAATTGCAATGTCTCTGACGGAAAAACCTTTTTTATTCGTTATCACAGCCGGTTCTAGCTACATGTATATGTTGGTTGTACAAAACACTGTGGTTGGACACCAAGAAGATCTTGCATAGCCTTTTCCCCAAGTTCTTCCAAGAATGAAATGATGTCGGAAATATGCTACGAAATGGCAGTAAATGTCAAAATCAGATATATTTTCTCATCCAGAATCTTTCTTTCGCCACCCTTAAATTGCATCGGGTGCAATTACTTATTGCAGTCTCTACCAGACTAACTACGCTGGCTATATAAAAGAATATTTGCCAGGAGGGGTTGGCCGCCTTGTAAGTTTGATTGGCCTTCGGAGGGAAAGAAACTACCTCCCTGCGGCCGGACTCCTTTGGCCAATTTTACTCTCTTTTTTGCCGAATTCTGCGATCCGTATTCCCGTAGAAAGGCCTGGTGGAGGCTACAATTATTGTATGTAGCCTTCGAATTAGCCTTGGGGCAACATGGAAAAACACTAAGGCACAGATAATTTTTACGAAGTATATATATTTTTCTGTATAAGCCATTGAAAAATCAGAATAAGGTATTCAGAAATATGTATAGCACACCGCTGTAGATATAAGTACGTCATCGCTATAAATAGCACAAACGTCACACAACTTTCCCGGGCTCTTCTCATCACGTGACCTGATTATTTACTTAGTACATGTAGATGACATCAGTGTTCAAACAAAGCCACAAACACATGCAGTCGCTATGGGGCAAATAGTGCAACTCTGCAAATCAATTGTCTAACACAACTGGCTCCCTCACATAAGTGACAGGCCGGTCAACAAGACAACAAAAGCAAATTTGACCTCATTACAGCACGAGGTGCTACAGCAGCAGCCCTCTGCCCTACCGTATATTGTAGAACTTTTAAAATGCAAACAATGTATCATGTTCTTTTTTTTCAACATGCATGGCCACACCGACTAAATTTTATGGATGACATCCTCTGCAGACCCCTAAAGTAGTGCGCGCAGGCGAATAAAAAAAATTCCGGCCAAAAATAAAAATGCTACTAAACCACAGGAATACAAAGCTGGTGGTGTGAATTGCGGCAGTACATAGCGACGTATATGTCAAGCCGGCCTTTTGCGGAATTAATGAATCGGCACTGTACGTATGAGTTCTGCAGTCGTGGAGCTTCAGTAGCCTGGGTGCCCGGCTCCGTATTGTCGCTAACTACCATGGACTACCCAGGCCTAGAGCCAGGCCAGAGCCTCGGTGGACGTGTATTTTTTTTTGAGAGNTTTTTGAGAGAGAGAGAGAGAGAGAGAGAGAGAGAGAGAGAGAGATAGAGAACGTCGGTGTGGCCTATGTAGATGTTATAGAGCTAAACCGATTTTTTTAAGTTACTATATACAATAACTTTTAAAAAATCGGTTACGATTACGGTTAGTGGGTACGAAATGCAATCAACATAAACGTAATGTAATCAGCCCAGGCCATTTCATTGGTCATCCTCGACAATGAGGGACGAACAATATGTAATGTTAATCGCCAAGCAGATCTTTCGGTGGCTACCAGACGTAATCAAATTGGCCGGGCAGTATAGTCCGGAGGTCAGCCTTGTTAGCTTTGGTTCGCTCCCAACAATAGAAGGAATGCGGCAACCAAATCACTGAGTACTTTGTCACCCACCCCCGAGAATTTGGAGCAATTTGGGATGGAAAAAGGTATCGGCGGCCCTACACTTGGGCCAGGCGAAGACCATATTATGCCCTGATCTTGGTAGGCACCCAAAACACACTGTCCTCTCATTTCAGACACCTACTACTACTGACCTAGTTATACGCGGGACTGAAATACTAGTAACAACAGACGAGACAACAGACCTGTGAAAATTGATGACACCAATTTTCTATAGACGTTACACAGGACCCGTGCAAACTAACAGACGAATGCTGATTATTTAAACAGACAATATTTGCATTAGCAACAACCAAGTAAAACAACGGACGGGCAACAACAAAACATCAACTACGTGAAATTTATATATAATAATGAGTCAGATGGCAAGGAATAGAAATCGACAATAGACAAGAAAAACAATCCTAATTCCGCACAAGCAAAGATAGCGACGCTGAGCGGACGAAAGCTAGATTTGTAACTATAGAAAACATTTGCAAAGCAAATGCATAATGTTTACCTTTGAACTGCTCTGTTAATTCTTAATCAAACAGAATTCAAATACATAATGTACTACCATGGGCGATAGGCCATCGAGTTTTTGTTGAGATCGTTGTTACTTTATTTAAATACATACAAGGTTCCTACATCTTAAAATTTGGACTCAATCATTGTACAAATGGTTTTGATTCAGTGGGAGCATCATATATACACAGCTAGCATCACATGCATGTGGTTGTATCACTGCATCAAAGTAAAAAAACAAAGCATTAAATCAGAGCCTTTTCTTGTCTTGTCTCCTCTCCTCTCGCCATCCATATTCCTACATATAGCAACAGACATCTTTGCCCATTTTCGTCATGTTGACCACTGTCAGAGGGCAACAATTTTTTTTCAAAATCAGGCAAAAGTTAATGCGCGCGCTGATGTCATCCATAAACATTACTTGCCGTGGCCTTAGTCAGGCTAAGCTAAATCCATGTACAGCAGCTCAGTGAAGTGTTAGGTGTTTTTTTCGTCCTGGTGAGGTGCCAGTGCCTTAGGCAGCCACTCTCCTGATGGACCGTGGAAATGGAACCTGGGGGAAGAAAATGAACAAGACTTTATCTAGTAGACTTAAATGCATCCATATTATAATTTCAGGGCACCAAAACAAAAGAAAAAGCAACAAGGAAATCTGTCTGATATTGAATGAACAAATAAATACGCATAACCACTGGGTTAAGTACAGGTCACAACAAAAGAATTGAATACAGATAACATATACATATTTACATAGTGCCAAGTAATTACTGCTAGTAAGTAAAATTGGCTTCTTCTTGTTTCTCAGTAATGGTTAAAGGGTAAGAATACTATTAGGTATGTCTCATAATCAAATGTTTGTCCAACTGTTAGAAAATAATATAAAATGCTTAGGTGTATGAAGTACATGTAGGGGGACATGAGTTGTATCAGGCTAATAACATATTGAATTTCTGCTCTCTTTTTGTTGTATTATAAGTCTATACATCCTATGAGCATTTCTCATCTCCAATTCTTCCTAGATAATAGTATTGACATACCAGTATTTGATATTGACATATCAATATCAAATATTATTTACTGTTTGTTGTAGTGTTTGGCTAGTGTATAGGAGACCAAATTCATGAGCTATCTGCTAGTGAACAGTCATTAGGGCTTGAAATTCATTTTTTGGGGAATATATGTAGGACGCACTGGTGCACCCAACCTATAAAATTAGGTGCACATAATTTTTTTTGGGGGGTGCACCATATGAAACAAACCTAAGTACAGATCTTACTGGCCGTCCTCTGAGCTTACATTTGAAATGAGGGCTAAATTTAAAATCTTTTAAAAACAAGTACTACAACAAAGATTTTTTTTTTTTCTGACACTTAGATGTCAAGAATATCTTATATTAACTGCCTACTATACATTTGATATGTACAAAAAAACCTAAAAATATATTTAGGTGCACTGGTGCACCCACATAAAAAAATTGGGTGCTCAGTTCCAAATTTGGGTGCACTAAGGTGCACATGCACCCAGTATTTCGAGCCCTGCACATGCAACTATTGGACTAAGTAAAAGAGAAGAATAGGAACAAAATGTACTGTAGACTAACCCTAGCTGATGTGTAGCTGGAGTCTCCTCTATGTTAAACTCTGCCACAGGAATGCCTCTACTGGCCAGCATGGGAGCATACATAGCTGCAGGGTACACTACTGAGGACGTCCCCACCTGTACAGGGTACAAACAGTCAGGGATGGCAGACTTCACCCCAGCATGGCAGCATACTACACTACAATGTCCCCACCTGAAGAAAAAAATCAGGGATGGCAGACTTCACCCACTCTCACTCACTCACTAGTACTCACTCACTCTCATTCACTCACTCACTCACTCACTCACTCACTCACTCACTCACTCACTCACTCACTCACTCACTCACTCACTCACTCTCACTCACTCACTCACTCACTCACTCACTCACACTCACTCACGCACTCATTCAGTCTCACTCACTCACTCACCCTCTCACTCACTCACTCAATCTCACTCACTCACGCACTCACTCAGTCTCACTCACTCACTCACTCACTCACACTCACTCACTCACTCACTCACTCACTCACTCACTCACTCACTCACTCACTCACGCACTCACCCACCCACTCACTCACTCACTCACTCTCACTCACTCACTCACTCACTCACTCACTCACTCACTCACTCACTCACTTACTCACTCACTCACTCACTCACTCACTCACTCACTCACACACTCACGCACCCACCCACCCACTCACTCACTCACTCTCTCTCTCTCTCTCTCTCACTCAGTCTTGTTTGCTGTAAGTATAAAAAAAGTATTTAAAGCCCAGTCCAACAAAGAAAATAACCATAACTGATTACCACTAGACACAGGTCACACTTGTCCAGCTCCTGGTCAGTCCTGGTCAGTACATCAGGGTCCAGAGACTCCCCAAACCACACCACATGTGGCCTGAGCAGACCACCACAACCACCATGGTCACATCTGGAACACAACATCTATCAAAGCAAAGCTACATTATACAAGTTTATTGCGAAATACAATGTACATGCCTGAGGGCTTATTGCAGGTACTTACAACATGTACGAAAAAAATACTATGATACAATTACACAAGAGACTATGTCTATAACATTATACTACATTCTAGATCTTCAGCATACATGTAACGTACATGGTACTAGTTTTGCTGAATTTGACTTCTTCTTTTGAGACCAATTCGTACAATTGTTGTATAATATGCAGGTATAATATGTGGCTCAGAAACAAACACAGAATTGCAAAAATAAAACATAGAGAATGCAAAAAGAGATGCCCAAGGAGGGTGATTGGGAAGCTTGCTAGTCTAATGAGTGTTTCCAAAAATCCACTTTTAGAAGGCCGTACAAGCTCAACTTCTCATGATTGGAACAAACTTCAAGTGACTATATTTTATGTACCAATCCAATATTTGTATGTATTTTACAGACTTTTTCTGGTGTCATTTGGTCTTTAAGCAGGGTACAGGTGTTTCTTTCTTAATATTAAGTACTGACCTGGGGAGATCTTCTTCAGGTATCCTGGCATCCTGCGCATCAGGATCAGGGGCACTGTGAGTGTGGAAATGCCAGATTTGTGGAAAATGAAAAAATGACAAATGAAAGAAACAGCTTGGGATCTACATGTATGCACAACAATTAAAGTCTGCAAACAAATTTCAGGGTCTCCAGCGGACGTCACACATATAGATTACTTGGTGTGGCCTAATGCCAATTGCAACCAGATATACATTTTTCTGTTTAATTAGGCCACACCGACTTAATTCTATGGATGACATCCTCTGAAGACCCCCAAACTAGTGCGCGCGGGCGAATAAAAAAAAATCCTGCCAACATAAAAATGCTACTACTAAACCACAGGAATAAAATTCTCGTATTGTGAATTTTCGGCAGTACTTATAGCGACGTATACGACAAGCCGGAATTTTGCAGAAATTATGAATCGGCACTGTACGTATGTACTGAGTTCTTGAGTCGTGGACCGTTGGTAGCATGCCAGGTGCCATCCTCCATAGTTACCACCGGCTCCGTATTGTCGATAACTACCATGGACTACCCAGGCCTAGAGCCAGGCTAGAACCTCGGTGGACGTGATCTTTTTTTTTTATTCAGGACACGTCAGCCGAAAATCAATGTGCGCGCGGATGTCATCCAAATTAAGTCGGTGTGGCCTTACCATGCATAGTCTGGAGAAAAGGAAAGTCCTTACCCCTTCCCAGCCAATGACAGAACAATGGGACTCTTCCTGTTCTCTTCCACATGCCCACATCGAGTACATCTTGTACGGAACAGGTTACCTGTGGGGGGGGGGGGGGCACACATGTTAATCTGAAACTTTATTTGCAAAATCATGCCCGAAGGCTAATTGCTTGTACAATCAAGTATGATACTAGTTGCAATACAGTAACAGGAGACAGGTAACAGCTGTCTGGAAAAAAAACTTCTACATCTACTACTACGCTAGCTATTATGGGGTTCGACTTCTTCTTTGAAGGCAGTGGATAATGAATAGTCTCACATTCTGCATAATTAATGGGTTTTGTGATCTTAGTAGGAACGTAGTCTTTTGGTGATCTTCTAAATGACGAGATGATGGAGAAATTGTTGTAACTGTCTGAAATAATCTGTTTCTTTCCATCTCATACTCGTCATAGTGAGGACACTGGCTAACAAAATGTATCTTAATTGTATAATAATTGTTAATGTTCATCTTTAAATAGCAGGGCTCGAAATTCACTTTTGGGAATAGGTGCACCCAACCTAAAAATTAGGTGCATAAAACATTTTTTTTGGGATGGTGCACCATATAAAACAAAACATAATTACAGATCTTAATGCTCCTCTTCTAAGCTTGAATCTGAAATGGGAGCTAACTTCAAAATCTTAAACTAGTACCTCAACAAAGATTTAATTATTTTTTGAAATTGACGCTTAGAATAGATGCCAAGAATATGCGTACTATTATTTAATATGTACAAAAATACCTACAAAAATATTTGGGTGCACCAGTGCACAGCTTCAATTTTGGGTGCACAGTATTTCGAGCCCTGAATAGCCTTCAAATACAAAGGCTAACATTGTTCATATTTTTCCCACAACTTTCACTACTCGCTACTTCTAGTACAGATACAGAAGCTGGTGCGTTACATAATAAAAACAGACATCCTTGCCCATTTTTGGCATGTTGACCACTGTCAGAAGTAGTGATGCATACCGGTTCATTGGACTTGGATACGGACTTGTAGAAATGTTTAGGTTCAAGTCCAAAAAAAACTAAAAGTCAAGAACCGAGTCCGGACTTATTACTATAAAAGACCATTTCACATACCCCTTTTCTTTCCAAACCACCTAAAACCTTCCGTAGATTGCAAAATCTTTGCTGCAAAATGAAGACAACATTGCCATCGGGCATCGTCAAGTTCCGGCCTCCATGTTATGTGGCCAAAGTTTCACCCACACAACATTGCAAGGTTGCCAACATGCAGTTTTATATACGCCACATGGGTTTAGGTCCGGACTTACAAGTCCATCCGGAACTGAACCTAATACTCTGGAGTCTGGACTTGAATCCGGACCTGAACCTAAAATTGAGCTTAGGTATGCATCACTAGTCAAAAGGCAACAAAATTTTTTTTTTTTTTCAAAATCAGGCGAAAATTAATGTGCGCACTGATATCATCCATAGAAATTACTTGCTGTGGCCTTATCTTCACATGAAAAGAAATTTCGTTGAAGTCTACCGTGAAGTTCAATGATGTTTTTGGAGCCGGCCCGTTTATGCAGCTCATCTATGTTCTGTGTGATGACCACCAGGCTGCGTCCCTGCTTGACCAGTCTCTCCTCACACTCAGCGATGGCCATGTGTCCGGCGTTGGGCAGTTTGGTCAGCATGACCTCCCTCCTGTAGTGGTAGAACTCCCACACCAGAGATGGGTTGGCTCGAAATGCTTCTGGAGTAGCCAGATCCTAGAGTGATAGAGACAAATTTCAATTTGTCCTGGTGTCCTTATTCCTGAGGATAACTTTTAATTCAGTCCTGTGTGTGTTTGTGTGTGTCAGTATGTGTGTGTGTGTTTGTTTGTGTGTGTGTGTGTGTGTGTTTGTGTGTGTTTGTGTGTGTGTGCTTGTGTGTGTGTGTTTGTGTGTGTGCCTGTTTGTGTGTTTGTGTGTGTGTGTTTGTGTGCGTGTGTGTTTGTCTGAGTGAGTGAGTGAGCGAGTGTGAGTGAGTGAGTGAGTGAGTGAGTGAGTGAGTGAGTGAGTGAGTGAGTGAGTGAGTGAGTGAGTGAGTGCATGAGTGAGTGTGTGAGTTAGTAATTAACGGAAGAAGTTCTACATGTGTAACAACGAGTATATAGGGGTCACTTTGAACTACCCGCCCAAGGCAATGGATCCTGGAACTTTTGGCCGAATCGGTTGGTGCGCTGAGCGGCGCGGGTTGGATCCCGTTCCAGATAGAGTCAACCCTCCGGTTACTACTTTCTCTAAGAGTCTAATGTGTTTAACACAGTCATGTATAAGTTAACGTTACCCACCTGAGCTTGCCACCTCCTCCAGAACCCCCCGGCTCCCCTGAAGGTTGGCACCCCGCTCTCTGCGCTGATCCCCGCCCCGGACAGCACCACGATGTTCTGCGCCTTGGCGAAATGTTCTCTGAACGCCGCCAGGTCCGAGCTGGGACGTCCCGTGCTCTGTGTCTGTCCCATCATGTTGACAACACGCCCCCCTCCCACTCTATAGACACGGGACAAGCTAGACTGTACAGAAACCCGTCCGACAACAACACGGAGCATCAGTCACGGTCTAAACACGCAGTTTTTCATGGGGAAAAAGTATCCTGGTGATATCAGTAACGTTATACCACGAAATTATTAAGAGGTCCAGCCGTCAGAAGTAAACATAAACACTAAAATGGACCATTCCAAAAATATAAGGGGGGATTTGTAACACTTTAGTTTGCATTGCCTTAGTACTCTACTCAGTGTGTCAATCCCCTACTTTCTAAATAGTACTGTGGTTATGATTCTTTTATTCTCCTGTGTCCTTAGTCCTGAGGATTTTAAACACTTTTTGTCCTGTGGTCCGGTGTTATGTCATATCCCCTCTCTATTTTTATGGTTTGAACCCCCTAAAAACACACTTTAGCTCAAGAGGTCATTAACTTTAGACTCGCCTATGTCTGACCAATCAGATCGCAGAATTTGGTCATGTGTCTGGGCGGTAAGTTTGAGGAAGATTTGCAGTGGTCAAGGAATCTTAGCTGACCAGTGGACGTTTTCCAGGTTTCTGTAACTTGTTCAGGTAATACGTTGTTGTTACAGAGGTGTTGTTGCATTGATGTAAAAGCAGAACTGTGCTGAAGTTGCGAGTACAGATCGATATAGCAGCGCGTGATGTTTGTTGTAAATAAGAGGGGGAGGGGGGTGGCATATGGGGCCAAATGGTAGCAGTATACAGTTTTCCCCCTATGGAGCCTTCCCAATGGAAACTGAGAAGGTTCGACGCTGTAAAATGTCTAGTAGGGTGCACAGCAAGTTACCAAAAAGGAACATATTTGGGTTCAGGGTACAACCAAGGACATACATGCATTTATACAGATCTTGGTATTCTTCTTCTTTGGCGGTTCAGTCTACAAAAATATGTCAAAAATAGGCTCAAGTTTGCCTACTAGTCGTTTTCCTATACATACTAGTACAGATACTGATCTGTATCTGTATAGCCGGTATAACCCGCCCTTTGGCGTAACACACCAGCTTCACAGGCATTCAGTGTGGTGGCAGCTGGCTACTAGTATATTACACCAAACGACTTGTAACACCAAACCTTTCAACGTCTAACTCTAAGACTCTAACTCTAAACATCATCTTGTCTCTAAGTCTAACTTAAAGCCTGTGGCTATTGACAGGATCGTCCTGTCAATAGCAGAAAATATTGCACTGCTGACAGGATCGTCCTGTCAATAGCAGAAAATATTGCACTGCTGACAGGATCGTCCTGTCAATAGCAGAAAATACTGCACTGCTGACAGGATCGTCCTGTCAATAGCAGAAAATATTGCACTGCTGACAGGATCGTCCTGTCAATAGTAGAATGATTTGCACTGCTGACAGGATTTTTCCTGTCAGCAGTGCAAATTATTCTACTATTGACAGGATCGATAAAATTTTGGTATTTTTATTTCGTACTGGAAATTTTGGGGTTCGTGTAGGTCTTATGTAGATGTTATTATGTATGCTATTAGGCCATTTTTTACGATCCTGCGCTGCGGCCCCTGCAGATCGTCGTGCATACATTGATCCCCCGCTCGGTAGCGCGCGCCTGGCCTCCCGTAAGCAATTTGCGGCGGCAGTGCGTGCCTGTCGCCCCGACTAGCCTGTACCAGGCACCGCGGATCGCTGGAAAAATAGTAGAAATTGGCCGAAATAAAGGGAATAAGGTCGGCTAACTCCCTTGGTATATATTCCCTTTATTTCGGCCGATTTCTATTACTTTTTCCAGCGATCCACAGTGCCTGGTAGAGGCTAGTCGGGGCGACAGTAAGCGCTAGCCATTACAGCCGGCGCCGCGGGAATGACACAGCGGTCTACCGGCGGGTACCCGTCGGGCTAGCCTGGGTGCCACCCCGCGCGCGAGTGTCTATCTCCTAAGTAAAAGTCACGGGAAGCCATACTCCCGGCAGACCTACTTGGCACACTGGGTCTAAATTCTAAATATCTCCTCACGCATGAGGCGTTTATATAGAGGGCTTCTCGTGGACGAAGGGGTTTGGGTGGATAATGGTAGCGGACAAATACGGTTTCTCCCGAAATCTATCGCCAAATAAACGCCGGACTCTGGGGCACCCAGGGTTAACCGCCAGGCGTGCTAACAGCAACACATGTCCTGTCAGCAGTGCAGTATTTTCTGCTATTGACAGGACGATCCTGTCAGCAGTGCAGTATTTCCTGCTGTTGGCAGGACGATCCTGTCAATAGCCTCAGGCAACTTTAAATAAATAACTGTTTCAAACTATCTTGTGTCTGTGATAATGCTTGGTGGAGTTCCACTCTACGAACAAATGAATTCTTGAACACCTCAATCCTTGGTTGATAACTCTCTGGTACTTGAAGGCATGGCTATTTCTTTTCTGAGCTGGTATTAGATACTTGATAGTTGATTAATTCACCAGTTTGTTAGTCCAGTTTTTAGCACTCATCTATGCACTAAAGGAAAAATATATACAACTTGTAAGTAAGTATGTAAGTATTTTCTGAAACTTCCTTCCTACCAGGAACACAACAAGGCTGGAAATACTGGGTGCATGTGCACCTTCATAATTACAATGTATATAATAGTGCACCCAAAATTGGAGCTGTGCACCCAATTTTTCTCTGTGGGTGCACCCAAATATTTTGGTAGATATTTTGTACATATTATTGTAAATATATAATAGTATACAGGATATTCTTGGCATCTAAGTGTCAGAAAAATAATAAAATCTTTGCTGTACAACTACTGTAAGTCTTTTTTTTTTTTTTTCCAGTTTTAATTGTGCTTTATTCAACAGTTCGTGGAACATTTGCGATCTGAGGCATGTATGCCATCGTATACAATTCTGTCAACTTTTCCTAGTCTTATAAATAACATCGAATGTAATATAACAAAAATGTATTCATAGCTGTACAAAGAATGAAGAAATAGTTAATTAATACACATTTTCCACTATCTATATCTTGTAGTTTTACACCCAATGTTTAGAATAAGTTTCTTAATGAACGTTCAAAATTAAACTGTGTAACAATGTCCATACAATTCGTACCATACTTAAACTTAGAAATTGTGCTTTTTCCCAGCAATATTAGTTCATTGATGTATAAAAATTGCTTTACATTAGGAAGGCGATATCCAAGAATAACATCTTGAGTGGTTAACGTCAATGTATATCCATATTCGGAGAGAAAACTCTTTTCAACTTCTGCCCATAAAGGTTTAACAAGTGCACAATCAAAAAAGAAATGTTCTATATATTCGACAGAGTCACATACAGTACATCTATTGTTTGCTACTATTCCTTGTTTACATAAACTAACTCTTGTTGGATAAATATTGTGTAGAATCTTCCATTGTAATGATCTCAATTTTGGTTCTTTAGTGATTCGAAAAGGAGCTTCCCATATGGACTTCCACGTGTTAATATGGAAATCAAAATGTGGAAGGCGTGACTCCCAGAAACCTTGAGAGATAGGTTTTGCTGCTTTTTGTAAGATTAGTATATTTCTAAAGAAACTATTAGTTTGAACTTTCACCTCTTTTTCAAATAACTTGATTTTATGTACTCCGTCAAAATCATATGACTACTGTAAGTCGTTGTTGTAAGAATTTGAAGTTAGCTCCCATTTCAGATTCAAGCTTAGAAGAGGAGCAGTAAGATCTGTAAATAGGTTTTGTTTTATATGGTGCACCTAAAATATTTTTTTCTGCTGTAACAGTGGGGGGTTTATAGGCGCTACCAACTTGTCCGGCAAACGGGACCTTTTAGCGGAGGCTAGAGTGTCTGACTGGGGCCCGGGACCAGTGGGTTTTTACGGCTCCTCCTGTTTCTTACAGTGCACCTAATTTTTTTAGGTTGGGTGCACCAGTGCACCTATTCCCAAAAATGAATTTCGAGCCCTGATTAATAAAGTCTCTTTACAGTGAAAGTGTGGGAGCAGACTTGTGTGGTCAGGATGGCACAGTTCTGTACTCCTGTCAATCTGAACAAGCCCAAATACATCATGACTCCACTGGGCTCACCAACCACAGACCTGGACTGGAAGGACGGCACCTATGATCATGCACAGGAGTCGTGAGTTTCTTAATGACTATACTTACTGTACTCAAGTTTACAATCTGTGTACGGTTCTTAGGCCACACCGACTTAATTTCATGGATGACATCCGCGCGCGCATTGATTTTCGCCTGATCTCAAAAAAAAAGGAAGAAAAAAAGCTCCACGATTCATTACTCAGTACATATGTACAGTGTCGATTCATAAATTCCACAAAAAGCCAGTCGTGTGCCGGCTTGTCGTATCTGATCATGCTAAGTACTGCCGCAAATTCACAATACCTGCAATATATTCCTGTGGTTTAGTAGCATTTTTATTTTTGGCCAGATCTTCTTTTTTCCGCGCACACTAGTTTTCCGCGCACACTAATATATCATCCATAAAATTAAGTCAGTGTGGGCTTACCTTTTTTCCTCTACATTCTTGCTTTCACCTCACCGGTACCTATCCCTTGACCTTTGTGGATTCTAACTTTACACATCGTATCAGTTGTTGCTAAAATCTTTTGGATTTGTCTACATCTCTTGCTATCACCTTTTCCAACTTTAACTTACTAGACTAACTAGTAGTAGTACTAACGTTTGGGATTATGATAATAATAATGGTTTATTTACTTCATAAACCCAGACTCCACTTTGCAGCCACTGCTGAAGTACATGGACTGTAAAATACAATACATGTATTTCTAACTACTACATCATAACAGCATTAGGATAAAAATGGTGGGTTGGTGTCGAAATAGGTTAAAAACATTGCGTAAATCTACATTCGTTGATATTTTGCATAGGTACTAGACTCAAGAGAATAGATTAAAAGCGTTTAACTTTAAGTATAAAACATTAGGCATTGAATAGTGCGTGGATGTATTATTAGATAAAAGCACAACGTGGATAAAAGTATTTACAAACAAGAGTTCCACGATCTCATACCTTCGCCAAATGGTGTTAACCCTTGCGGTTGAAATATTATACAATTTTGATAATTGATTTTGCAAATAAGATCCTCATTTGCACGGGTTATATCAGTTGATCATATTCTCCACCCAATGACAGTCTTATCTTAACAAAAAGGCTATTAATATTATTATAGCACTTCCTCATAAATTATGCAAATGAGGTCATTATTTGAATAAATTATGTTTATTGATGTTCGCATTCACTTAACTTCCAAATGTGGCAAGTATGAAATTCCCAGTAGTTACAACTATGAAATTATAAAAAATTGCCATTAATTATGCAAATTAGATCTTCATTTACATAGTCTTTATCCTCAGATGTTTTTTTAATTCTCAATTACATGTCACAAGTGTTTCATAGTCCTATTATCGAACAAAGCAGCTTTATAGAATTTCCTCATTAATTATGCAAATTAGCTCCTGATTTGCACAACTGTCATTTGATTATGTCAAGCATCCCTTCAGCTACCTACATACCAAAAATCACGACAATCCGTCAACCGGTTCTTGAGTTATCATCCTTAGAAAATTTTTCAACAAATGCTCCTGCAGTTCCAGAAGAAGCCGCTAGGGGGCCCAAACTCATGTCACTTCTTCCCTACCCCAAGAGCTATCTACCAACTAAAATTCGTGACCCTAGCATGTCCAGATCGCGAGATATCAAAACCGGAAGTTCTGCTGCAGTACCAACAAAAGCCGCCAGGGGGCCCAAAATCTAATCATTTCTAGGTCTCATCAAGACCTACCCACCTACCAACTTTCATGACAATGCATACTAATCTTCTTGAGTTATGCTGTTCACAAACAGACAGACAAACGCTACTGAAAACATAACCTTCTTGGCGAAGGTAAAAACTGAAATTCTCCCAGCAAAAGCGGCACCTACATCAGCTACATGCCATTGAGAAGCTAAGTGACTACTTTGGAGTCTTGTGGATATGCTTGAGTAACCCTGATTGTATCTTGTTCTCCAGACCTCAGCATTATTACCACAACGAGGTGTTGAAAGTCCGTGAGTCCAGAAACGTGGAGTTTAAGACCGCGGGCGGGCGCTACATCTACGACATCCTGCCCCAACATGTCGACAAGTATGGCAGCGCATTTCTCAATGGCAACGGAGGAACCCTTTACTTGGGCGTGCTAGACGATGGTATGGAGATTACAATTCATGGCTGTAGCCAGGGGGGGGTTAGACAATTCTGAACAATTTCTTATCTACAATGTATGATCCAAGCTTTCTAAGTTCTGTTGTGCTTTTTATAATTATATATTTATGTTTACCAATTTAAAGGAAAGCATATTGTTTTTGCTCAGTTTCTTCCTCTTCAAACAGTAACCTCTGACCTGACCAATGGCATGATTTGTTGACGTGTCACCATGGTGACTGGTGTTGGCTTACATAATGTTGCAATTTCATGGTCTGCTCTGCTCCTGTCACCATATACTAGTACTAGTATATGTGAATGTGTATCTGTATCTGTATAGCCGGTATAACCGCCTTTCTGCGTAACACACCAGCTTCTGTATCTGTAAAGCCGGCAGGGTTCTAGCTAGGATTTAATTTTAGCGTAGTGGCACTGGCCGCATGATGAGGGAGCAAAGCGAAGCTTTTAAAGATTTGAGCTTAAAAAGAGGTCATTGAACTTTTGAAGGGATACCCAAAGGGAAAAAAATGTTATTTCTAAGGTATGTACAATGTATCTCTGATTTTCCACATTTGATCTGGCATTCTCGAACAAAAAAATACAGTCACAATGCCCCTATGCTGTATTAGAAATTAGCATAGGGGGAAATTTAGCGTAGGGGGTCAAAATTATAGCGTAGGGGGCCCCTACGCTACTTTGCACTAACTAGAACCCTGGCCGGTATAACCGCCTTTCGGCATAACACACCAGCTTCTGCTTGAGTAAGAATTAGCAGAGCAGACCATGCCCGAACGTAAACATTATGCATTTGCATTGCAAATGTTACTTCTCTAGTATAATAATATACTGTATTAACTTATTATAAATAGAATGTCTGTACCCCCCTCCCCACATGTAGGTACTGTGAATGGTATCAGACTGAACTACCGTGAGGAGGACCATGTCACCAGAACAGTCTACAACACCTTTGGCAACTTCCTACCAGAAGTCTCCCCTGGTATGATAAAGTAAGTACAGATCTCATCCATTTCTTTTTGCTGGGGTCCACAAGGCTTTTGTGATGAGTATCACGCACTTTGGTAATGTGGTTGTGTCTGATACATTTTCACTTGTACAGGGTTCTACTTCTAGCTAGGATTTAATTTTAGCGTAGTGGCACTGGTTGCATGTCAAGAGAGCGAAGCTACTGAGAGGGGGGATGGGGTAGACGGGGGGATGTGCCCCCTCTTCCGCGGTGCGGAGCTTTTAAAAATTTGAGCTAAAAAAGAAGCCATTTGAGGGATACCCAAAGGGAAAAAATGATATTTCTAAGGTATATACAATGTATCCTTGATTGGTAATTTTTCACATTCGATCCTCCTGGCATTCTTGAACAAAGAAATACACTGTCAGTCACAATGCCCCTACGCTATATTGAAAATTAGCGTAGGGGGGGAAATTACTATAGGGGTTAAAATTCCGGGGGACCCCCTACGCTACTTCGCGCTAGCTAGAACCCTGATGTACATAATCACTAGTACAATGTAATACAGACAGTATTATCAGTATGTATCAAGGCTCAAAGCCAGGGTGCAGTTGACATTAGAAATTAACTGCACCAGACAAATGTTTGCCTTTCTAGTTTTAGCTGAGTTATAATTAAACAGTAATGCCTTCAAATACATGTATCAGAGTTATCAACCAAGCATTGAGGTGTTCAAAAACTCGTATTTCCCCAGAACTATGATCGTAGACTGGAACATGTTGCTTCCAAGCACAGTTGGGGCATCATCACTAGAAAGCTTTAAACAACTCCTGCAATTAAATGTGCAAAGATTGAGTGTAACAAGTCGTTTGGTGTGATATAGCTAGCTGCCGCCGCACCGCGTGCCTGCAAAGCTGGTGTGTTACACCGAATTAAAGGCGGTTATACCGGCCATACTGATAGTGATACAGATACAGAAATTAGGAAGGGTACTAGTAGTCAAAAACTAGTCATCATGAGAAGATGGCCAGCTTATGAAGGCAGTCACGCACTTGGATAAATTTGACCATTATAATTTTTCAATAGCATTTCATCAGAAAAAAATTAAATCTGACTGGTTCACTGTGCAATGAAGTGCACTCATATTGGCCCTGATGAAGGGGATGGACATCATTGAAATGTCAGCACTTATTGAAAAACTTGTTGTATAAATAAAGAACTTTGCTACTGAACCATTCACCAACCTGATGAAATTATTCCCAGATGTATTTACGGGGCTCGAAATTAATTTTTGGGAATAGTTACGCTAGTGCACCCAATTGGGTGCAAAAAAATTATTTTTGGTGCACCATATAAAATGAAATTAATATAGTGTCAGCAAAAACTAGTATGTTTCATTTCATAAGAAAAGTACTACAACAATTATGTTTCTTACACTTGGATGTCAAGAATACCCTGTTAATTCTTTTTTTTTCTTCACATACGAAAACCTAAATAAGAAAATATTTGGGTGCACCCACAGAAAAAAGTTAGATGCACAGCTCCAAATTTGGGTGCACAAAGGTGCACATGCATCCAGTATTTCGAGCCCTGATTTTAATAATAATAATAATAATTTTTGTTTCCCATCACCTGGAATACAGCGTTCGGTTTGCACCAGTGTATGAACAAGGAAGAAGTCGTCCTGTACCCAAACTGAAGGTTGTGGAGATCTCTGTCAAGGGAGGACCTGTACATGAACTGTTTGAGACCGGCAATCATAAGGTACATTTATGAAGGTTAATCATCCTGCAGCTGGATATACTTATTACCTCAGGGGGAGGAGACATCCCTCCCCGCAAGGGTTTTGTGAGAGATTTAGATTTTCATGTTCGCAGCGGATTCTTTTGAGACTCGGTATATGTTTTGCTATTGGGCTGCAGATGATGCACGTTCTTTTGTTTTTATTGTATATGTGATTTCGGGTGTGAAAATGGTGCCTTTTGGTGGCCCCAGAACACCCCTTTGACTTTGAGCGTGAAAGTGGTCGCGACCGTTGACCTTTGGCGTGTTTAAGCTATTCTCGGTCTGGTTCACGTATATGACCCCTCACACATGAGTGGGGTGTCCGATCTCGATAAATTCTTTGTTTAAAACCCTATATAAAAATATACAATAAAAAGCCTGGAGGTATAAAATCTCAGATTTTACTTGTTATATCCTGGATAATATTTTCAAATCTATATACTGACTTTTAGACATTTGACTACGATCCAGCAATCTTGAATTCAGATTGAGGAAGAGGAAGCAACTGGACAGGATTTTGGAAACGGTCAGGTCACTGACAAAAGCAAGTGGATGCTAGCTGAAACGACTGACCGTTTTCAAAATCATATCCAGTTGCTTGAGTACCGGTAACTGCTTTTTGTGTTTTAAGCAAATATTTTGAATTTTCAGACTCCAAATGTGATCTCTTTTACAGTTTACCGAAAGAGATCCTGATCAATAGTTTCTGTTGACTGGGACTCCAATCGTATCCTGGGTGCCACCCTATTTCAGGGCACCTTTAATAGTGCACCCAAATTTGTAGCTGTACACCCAATTCTTTTCTACAAATATTTTTGTAGGTATTTTTTGTACATATTAGTAATAAGTTAGTATGCAGGATATTCTTGGCTACTAAGCGTCAGAAAAATAATAAAATCTTTGTTGTAGTTCTTGTGTAAGATTTTGAAGTCAGCTCCCATTTCTGATTCAAGCTTTAAGAAGAGGAGCAGTAAGATCTGTAATTATGTTTGTTTTATATGGTGCACCCAAAAATATTTTGTGCACCTAAATTTTTTAGGTTGGATACACAGTGCAGCCATTGCCAAAAATGAATTTCGAGCCCTGTTTTTGTATGCCGGGGCTCCCATACTCGCTCCCTAAGAAAGGAAGCAAGTATGGGAGCCTTGGCATATACATAGGATGGCACCCAAGGTACTCCAATCGAGACCTTTATTTGTAAAATCTGAGTCTGTAGCGTAACATATAATTATGTATGATATGATTTATATAGTAGAGGGGATTCATTCCTCAAGCTACCGACATCTTGCACACGCAGTCGTCCCTCAGTAAGACATCTGGAGCCGCATAGTTCCCGTTTAGAACTTTTATTCAGCCTGTCACACGACCGGTTTCGCCTGTGTGGCTTCTTCAAGTGTACAGAGGCTAATGACACAAGTGCATGAAGTTCTCACTTATATACCTTTCCAGTACATAGTGCCCTCAGGTCAGTTACATGGCGTTCAGAATGCCCTGACCTGTTACATAGTGCGTTTTGACCTTGGTTGACCTACTACATGACGTCATCTATTGTTCTAGAACAATTAAACATGTCATAAAGGTCTTGTTTACCATGTTGCACAAAACGAAAAATAAAGAGAAATCCATCTTCTTCGAAGTGTAGTCTTCTCCCCTGGCTGTTTTTCTTGCTCTGGCTTGTAGCTCTGGCTTCTCAGCAACTTGTGGGGCTTGAACAACACGTAGAAATCTCAGGGTTCTCCTTTTCTTGGTAGTGGTGGGCAGCGATGTGGTGGCGCACTGGCTCACGGCAAGGGTATCTTCAGTGTCTTCCTTGTGCTCGACGTGGCGGCGGTGTTTTCTTCCAGGGGCGTCGTTTTGAGGGCTCGACTTGCTTCTAGGTGCTTCCTTTAGATGTACGGGATCACTCTGGGTCCGGAAGTCCAGAAGATACTCAGCGAGGATCCATCCATTGAGAAGTATGCAGTATGTAGTAGAGGGGATTCATTCCTCAAGCTACCGACATCTTGCACACGCAGTCGTCCCTCAGTAAGACATCTGGAGCCGCATAGTTCCCGTTTAGAACTTTTATTCAGCCTGTCACACGACCGGTTTCGCCTGTGTGGCTTCTTCAAGTGTACAGAGGCTAATGACACAAGTGCATGAAGTTCTCACTTATATACCTTTCCAGTGCATAGTGCCCTCAGGTCAGTTACATGGCGTTCAGAATGCCCTAACCTGTTACATAGTTCGTTTTGACCTTGGTTGACCTATTACATGACGTCATCTATTGTTCTAGAACAATTACAAATGTCATAAAGGTCTTGTTTACCATGTTACACAAAACGAAAAATAAAGAGAAATCCATCTTCTTCGAAGTGTAGTCTTCTCCCCTGGCTGTTTTTCTTGCTCTGGCTTGTAGCTCTGGCTTCTCAGCAACTTGTGGGGCTTGAACAACACGTAGAAATCTCAGGGTTCTCCTTTTCTTGGTAGTGGTGGGCAGCGATGTGGTGGCGCACTGGCTCACGGCAAAGGTATCTTCAGTGTCTTCCTTGTGCTCGACGTGGCGGCGGTGTTTTCTTCCAGGGGCGTCGTTTTGAGGGCTCGACTTGCTTCTAGGTGCTTCCTTTAGATGTACGGGATCACTCTGGGTCCGGAAGTCCAGAAGATACTCAGCGAGGATCCATCCATGGAGAAGTATGCAGTATATAGTAGAGGGGATTCATTCCTCAAGCTACCGACATCTTGCACACGCAGTCGTCCCTCAGTAAGACATCTGGAGCCGCATAGTTCCCGTTTAGAACTTTTATTCAGCCTGTCACACGACCGGTTTCGCCTGTGTGGCTTCTTCAAGTGTACAGAGGCTAATGACACAAGTGCATGAAGTTCTCACTTATATACCTTTCCAGATGTCTTACTGAGGGACGACTGCGTGTGCAAGATGTCGGTAGCTTGAGGAATGAATCCCCTCTACTATATATGTATGATATGATTGATAGAATTTCAGTGTTGTTGAGATTATATAATATACATGTATATAATACCCTGTACTGTAGGTGTTTATAAAGAGAGATGGGAGTGTGGAGGAACAGAACCCACTACAGATCAGGGACCTGGTTATATCCAGATACAAGATGGTCAGTACAATTAACATTACTTCTGGCGAGGGAAGTATTGTTTTGGGTGGCACGCAGGGACGTTTGTATGTATGATGACCTTCTTCCTGGGTGGCTTTGACGGATTACATATAGGTCATTACATTGTACACATTGTAACAGTTATGTATTCCAGGTGTTGAAATAAAATAATTGGACACCCCCGTGTAACATATGGTGTAATAGTCTAGCATTTAAGAACTGCTGTCTGCTAATTTGTTGGATTATATGACTTCTTCAAAGTGGGGGTGAGCAGGTCTCGATAGCATTCTGCTTTTGGTTGTGCTTGTTAAATGTTCACATCTATAACTCTGAATCTCATAGATATACTTAGTATATTAATTTTTGAGGTTTCAAAGAACATGGTGATTTGGGGCATTTTCAGGTCAATGTATGTATAGAGAATTCGACACCCCCATGTTGTATGTAATGTGGTATCGTTTGTGACAAAGTTTTTTTCCCTTGCAGAGTTTACAGAAGAGACAGAAGCCCCAGCAGTAGTTTAACTCAGGAACTGTCACCACCTTGTTGATACATTGCACACCAGTAATTCTTTTTATTGCCACGAGTAACATTGCATTGTACATACATACAGTTGTTAGGCCACACCAATTTTATTTGTTGGTTCTGGGATTTTTTCAGATAAAATATGAAGAAACAGGGCGAAAAAACAATAAAAATAAGAACAGGGTTAGGCATCCTATTATAGCCCCAAATATATTAAATGCAACCATAGGAGCCATGCATGGAGTCAACACAAAAGGCTGGGTTAATATTTAAACAATGAATTTTGAACTTTCAATCAAACCACTGCATTGACAGTTGGAAAAACTGTAACAACTAGGAAGAAAAAGACTTTCCTCAACTACAGTTGTATTTGGAGCAAAATATAAGCATTTTTAGTTGATTCAGAACCAGAATCTTTTTTTTTTTTTGCAAATCAGAAGAAAATGAAGAGGCAAATCTGAGAACCATCAAATTAAATTGGTGTGGCCTTATCTTACTATTGTGGAAAGCAAATATGCAGTAGATTTAAATGTTCACAGTGCTTTTAAAGTTGAATTTTTACCTCTCATCACAACTTACCATCATTTCATCAATTTCTATTTTACTTATTCTATTTGATCTGCAGACTCAAATGTATCATGAACTCTTGATATTCATATTGCCTCAAAATATATTATAAGGTGTCCTGAAGTTAATGAATTTACATTTTATAATCAGGAACCATGTACTAGTAGGTGAACACTTAGTCTGGTATACTAGCATGTCGGTAGAAATTACTGAACCTGTGCTAAGCCTGGATTCTCATGAAAGTTCATCTGTGTTGGTAGTAATCATAGTAAAACGTTAAACTTTACAGAGAGATCAAATTTTCAGCGACCACTGTCGACTTCATCAGGATAATTAATGACCAATCACTTCACAACGTGATCTCGCGAGAGTTACGGTTTACAAACACATGATTGGTCATTAATTATCCTGATGAAGGCGACAGTGGTCACTGAAAATTTGATCTCTCAGTCTGTAAACTGTGTGTTGGAATAAAGTTAAACGTTTTACTATGAAACCTGGATTCTTTACGGTTTTTGTTGGACGACACGTTTGGTCAACATTGCATCATTATATTTCAGTCCATACCATGGTATGGATGAAATATATTGTGTTCTCTGATGTTTCTTCTTCTTCTTCTCCTGCCAAACAGTCAAAGGGATTCAACTCCGCCATCATTCAGCCAAATGACTTGAAATTTGGCATAGAGGTAGAGTGAGCCAATACCCCCAGGCGTTTTATTCATTTTTTTTGATACATGCCTTTGAAAAATTTTTATGAAGGTTTTTTGGGGCATTTTTCGCCAAAAAATGGATTTTTGGATCCTGAGCCCTGGTATTACAACCAAATGATCTGAAATTCGGTATAAGGGTACCTTGAACATGTGTCTACAGAATAGCAGTCACATATTTGGCATACACCACTTCCAAATGACTCATTTGGGGGACTTTAATATTTTCAGCAAAAAAAAGGGCCAAAAGTGCTATACCCGTTCCATGTTCTATCTAAAGAATGGCCTGTTCCATCTGTTGTTGGCCATGGAAAACGTGTTCCATTGCGGGTTACCTGAGGCCACATTGCACGTAAGTCGTGCGGAATGACCCACACATTCAATTTTATGTGCCTAAGACCTTCAAAATGTATCAAATCTCATCCTTGTTAGTATTTGCATACCTGTAATAAGACTAGTAAAGCTTTCGAGATTCAATGTGCTTGTTCTTGCATCTTTGTTCTCAATTTCATAGCTACTATATAATTCATTTATTTGAGAATCTTTGCCAGTTTTACACTGGGGTAAGTTTGGAATAGTCCACTTTTGCGTGGGAGGGAGATGGACTGAAATATGCTGTATTTGCTCCCAAGCAAATGTCGGCCTCTCTAGTTATATTTGCCATTCATTGTACACAATATCTTTGCCCTGACAACATTTGAAAAGTATAGATGGGATTTTATCCTTAAATACTTGGATATGACCTTAAACAAGATACTCTAGCACAGTGCTGTGCAAACTACATTACAGGTTTTGCACAAGAACAGTATGCTCTGCCGATATGCTAATATACTACATGTACTTTGACATATTGATTTAAAACAGGTTTTACATGTACATTGTACTATAGAATGCCTTGCTCCAGTGCTAACAATGAATTAAAATATCAGTGATTATCTTCAAAGTTGATCAATAATGATCACTACTGTTACTAACTTCCCAGAAGGGAATACGTAGTAATGTTGCAATACTTGCAATAAGTGTAAATAAAACAAGCTGTTAAACACACACGGTGTTATCTTGAAAGTTTTTTTTTATTCCAACATGTAATCACCAGACGTGGTGACGGCACACTCAAGTTTCTTCAACTTATATTAATGCCGCCACCAACACAGGGGACAAATACATGACAGAACATTACACATTTTCACCTGAGCGAAGAGAGGAAAGTCGTGTAAAGCACCTTTCCCAAGGGCACAAGATCGGTGGCATGTCAGGACTCGAACCCGGGACCTCTAGGTTCCGAGTCGCGTACTCTGCCGCTACGCCACACGACCCCATATTGAAAGTTCATCTGGGCTGCTAGATGTGATTAAAATCAAATTTAAACTGTAATTTCCAACACAAAAAAAGGCTTGGCCATCTACAACAGGGAATCGTAACCATAATCAATAAAGATCAAACTAACACAGATCTTGTAATTGAGAATTTCTTTGTCATCACCGTAAGTACTGAATTCCTGACTTACATTTTATCTAAATAACATTAACAAGATAATCTCTAGAGGACATAGATTTTGAAGGCAACATAAAACCTAGCTTACTGCATTATGTCAGCTATAAGAAATAAACGATAGTTCACAAAAGTCATTGTCTCTTTATAGGTGATATAATCTATACATTTTAAAAACCTAGGGCAGCCCTTTGAATTTATATTCGGGAGGGTGCAACGTTAAGTACAATGCAGTAGTGTATCATGTATAGTCTTAATTGTAGACGGGTTCTACTACGCGTTCGTCACACTCAGTACCGTCGGGTTCGGTGACTTGGTGGCCGGGATGACTATGGTGGTGGGCCCGACCGGATCTGCTACCAGCAGCGTCTACATCGTAAGTTGGGACCGTAAATATACAAGCAGATGTTGAGAAGGAAGGTAATGAAGTATTCTGGCTACTTTGACTTGTTTTTCTGACACGCAAGCAATGCTTATCTGTATAATTTTGCATCTGTTACCAACCCTTAAATGACAATAAAAAAGAGACCCTAATCTCTAAGTATATACAATTCCAGCGGTTATGCTATGCAAGACATAAGATAAATACACCACGTCAGTAGGAAAAGTAAGGACATCGCAACCAGCTTAAACAAATACACACACAAAGGCACACATCAACGCACACACACACACACACACACACACACACACACACACACACACACACACACACACACACACACACACACACACACGTACACATCAACACACACAGACCCACAAACAAACAAGTGCACACTCACAAACACACCGTTACACACACACAGTTTAAATGGGAAGTTATGGAGCAGGTCGGATTTTCATCTCCGTGCGCTTCAGGGAATAGTGGTAACCCTTCCAGTGCGCCCAGATGACGCCGTTGTATTCATCCCCCCCGATGGGACCCAGGCGGTACAGGCCGTTCAGGTTGGAGCGGTGGCAATTACCGTACCACCACGCACCATCGTTAGCCTGCGCACAGCTGATAGAGTAGTCATCGTTATCTCTGTCCTTGGTACTGAATGGGCGCCCATCGTGGATCACAAGGCTGTCTCCTGTGAAGAAAAAGAGACAAAGACATACCGAGAACAACTCCAAACATAAATAGGTTAACCTGCTGGGCTAGAGGCCTGTTATTTGCATCCAATAGGATAAGGGACTCTATGGCCATCTGGGCAACCAGTTAAAGAATAAATTAGAAGTAGGGGTGTGTAAGATTCTTTTTAGAGTGCACATAGTAGCTAGGACAAGAAGGGTTAAAACTCGTAGCAATGTGTGTGTCCACCTTGAAGCATATCAAAACGACACACTCAGCAGCCTTACCTGCAGTACCACTATTATAAGTCCCGATGTAGAGTTTGTAGTTCTGGGATTCAGGTGAGATGGCAAATGTGTCGTAAGCGGCGTACCGCGTCTCTCCCTCCACATCCTCCATATCCACCCTGAGCTGGTAGACTTTCTGCACAGCCAGGCGGTACAAGTTGTCATTCCCCAGCCAGAATTCGCCGTTTAGGTTGGAAGGGAAGCCGGTCTTGTAGTCCGCCCAGCTCCGGTAGAAGTCCACGGTTCCGTCTTGGCGTTTCTGGAACAACTTCAAGGGCAAGAAAAAAAGTCAACACGCTGATACTAAAAGAAAAAGGAGCAATATTTCATATCACAGTCAGACAATGATATGCACTGTTGCAGCCGAATCTCGCATGTAGATTAGTGGAATGACTTAGATTAGTTATTAGTGGAATGACGTAGATTAGTAGATTAGTGGAAAGACTTACCGTCCAGCCGCCTCCGTCCGTGTCCATATCACAGAAGACGTTGAAGCCGCCCATGTTGTCCCGTGGATAAACCATGTACACGCCGCTGGGCGTGGTCTCGTCGTTGTCAAGGATGTCCTGACAGTCCTGGGGCCTGTCAGCTTCTGTGTCGTTAGCGTTACCTGAGGTGGAGAGTACAGTACACATAGATATCCTCACGGTCAAGACATAGTCTTTCGACGCGAGAACATGTGGCGTCGTGTGGTGTAGTGGTACATGTACATCACACGACGGGTTCGATTCCGGGTCGTACCCGAACATGCGCCCGGCCCCGACGTTGTACCCTTGGGAAAGTACTTTACACGACTTTCCTCACTTCACTCAGGTCGAAATGAGTATTTGGCTTCGGTTAGGGACGTCTTATCGGATGGGACGTTAACATGGAGGTCCCGTGTTTGAGGAGAGACACACCTCAAGCACGTTAAGCCTCGTAACCCCTGCTTCCCCTATTGTGTCAGTTAGTCCTCACTACTTGTGAGAAATTGGGCTGGTCTCAATCATGATGTTTCTGACTCAGGGAGAAGAGTTACTGTTACAGTTCTACTCGGTAACCCGTAACCCAGGTGAGTGGTCATACCATTCAGGTGGTTAACCAACCTTGAAGTGGCCTAACGGCCGTGTTACGTGGCGACCACTAAGTAAAAAAAAACATCTAATAGGTAAACTGTTGATGTGTTAAAGACATATTATGAAACTAGTACGTTGTCTTACCTTTAGGGCAATCGGCTATCTTCTGTGAGAGTTGGTTCATGGCGATTTTCATCTGCTCCAACTCTGCTTTCAGCGCGTTCTCGCTCCCACAATTACAACTACAAACCGGACTACAAACACATTTCTCGTCGGACGGTGGTCTACAGACAGACTGGGCAGAGCACAGGAACACAAACGTCACAAGGAACGTTAAGAGACAGGGAAAAGGCGACGCCATGGCGCTAAAATGCTTCCTTGTAGGCCAAACAACACTGTCAACTGTGGATAAGTCGACAAGGAAGTGTTCCAGTTGAAGTGTTATTGTTTTTGTTTTGGTCCTTCTGGGGGGTCACCCGAAAGGTTTGTTTACTTTTCGCGCAGCCCACAATGCACTGTAGGGGTAAATTTACAGTTGGACATGTACAATCACGGAGTATATATATATATAGACGAGCCAAACAAAAGCATAACGTTTTGAAATCCAAGGTTTTATGTAGAAGAATAAAATAGAACGTCATTTTGCTGATAATTCAAGGAGTTCACCTATCAATAACGTTACTGTAATTATACAGACAAAAAATTACATGTACGTGGACCTATCCATTATCCACTGCCGTCAAAGAAGAAGTCAAACCTCATAATAGCTAGCGTAGTACAAGTAGAAGTTTTTTCAGACAGTTGTTGTCTGTCTTCTATTATTGTATTGCACTGAGTAGTATACTTGATTGTAAAAGCAACTAGCCTTCGGGCATGATTTTGTGAATAAAGTTTCTTATTAACAATACTTCTGGTGAGGGAAGTATTGGTTTTTAGGTGGCATGCAGGGAAATTTGTATGTATCCTGGCCTTTTTCTGGTTGTATTTTACAGATTACACGTAGGTCATTACATGGTTTAAAATATCCCCTCTAGTGTACAAGTCAAGTGTTTTATAATGTAATCTGATCGTCATGGCGTTATTGGAGGCCAAATGATGCAGATGTTTCTTCCATAGTAATTTAAAGTATCAAAGTAAAATAATTGGACACCCCTCTGCAACATGGGTGTGATAGTCTAGCATTTAAGAACTATTGTCAGTCATACATGTATGGATTAATTAAAGATTATACAACTTTTTCAGATTAAAGTGGGGGTGAGCAGGTCCCGATAGCATTCTGCTTTTGGTTGTGTTTGTTAAATGTTTGCATCTATAACTCTGAATCTCATGGATGTACTTAGTATATTGAGTTTTGAGGTTTCAAAGAAACGTGGTGATTTGGGCATTTTCAGATCATGTATGTAAAGAGATTTCGACACCCCCATGTTGTATGTAAGGCCACACCAATTAGATTTCTTGTTTCTCGGATCTTTTCAGAAAGAATATGAAGGGACAGGGCAAAAAAAAAAATGGCAAAAAATGTTACAAAATGAGCCATGCAGTACACATACCAGGCTGGTTTATAATGAAAACAATATAAGTTGAAGTTTTGATGAATCAAAATTGCATTGTTACTTTGAAAAACTGTAACAACTAGGAAGAAAAGGACTTTCTTCAACCGTTGGGGCCAAAATATGTCTTTCATTGAGCATTTTGCAGTTGATTTAGACCCCCCCCCCTTTTTTGCAAATCAGAAAAACTGGACAGGGCAAATCCGAGAAACAACAAGTTAAATTGGTGTGGCCTAATGTGGTATCGTCTTTGTCTGTTTTCCCTTCCAGAGTTTACAGAAGAGACAGAAGCCCCAGCAGTAGTTCAACTCAGGAACTGTCACTACCTTGTTGATACATTGCACACCAGCCTCTTTTTATTGCCACTAGTAACATTACATGTAGTACATACATACAACTATTGTGTAAAGCAAATGTGCAGTAGATTTAAATGTTCACAGTGCTTTTAAGGTTAAATTTGTTACCTCTCATCACAACTTACCATCATTTCATCAATTTCAAATTTGATCTACAGACTCAAATGTATCATGAACTTAATGAATTTACACTACAAAATCAGGAACCATGTAGGTAAACACTGGTATACCAACATGTCGGCAGAAGTAACTGTGCCTGCGCAAAACCTGATTTTTCACGTTATTTTGTTGGACGTTTGGTCCACATTTCCCATTGTACACAATATCTGCCCCGGCAACATTTGAAAAGTATAGATGGGATGTCATCCTTAAATACTTGGATATGACCTTAAAGGCATCCAATGCGATTTCAGAGCAGCAAAACTGGAAATATTCTGAGCAAGACAAACGTTTGACACATACTACTTCACAGCACATTTCAATCAGTATTTGATACTTTGGGCTATTAAAACTGCAGGAACAAGCCCCAAGATGAGTCCTTTATTTTATGGGTGGTGTCCTAAAAATCAGCCCAGGGCCCTTCCAGTAACCATTTTCCGTCAGAAATTTGGGTAGTTTTTTCTCAATGTGAGTCACAATACATTTGAATAGTGCTGTTTCAACTCAGTATGTAGATAAGTGACTAGAATAATGACTTTGAAAAAGCGGGTTTCAAAGCCCTAAAAACTGCACTGGATGCCTTTAAACAAGATGCTCTATCACAGTGCTATGCAAACTACATTACAGGTTTTGCACAATTACAAGCACAGTATGCTCTGCCGATATGCTAATATACTACATGTACTTTGACATCTTGATTCAAAACATGTTTTATATGTATTATAGAAATGCCTTGCTCCAGTGCTAACAATGAATTAAAATATCAGTGATTATCTTTAAAGTTGATCAATAGTGATCACTACTGTTACTAACTTCCCAGAAGGGAATACGTAGTAATGTTGCAATACTTGCAATAAGTGTAAATAAAACAAGCTATTAAACACACACTGTGTTATCTTGAGATTTCATCTGGGTTGCTAGAAGTAATTATGAAGCAAATTTAAACTGTAATTTCCAACACAAAAACTGGACTTGGCCATCTGCAATAGGGAATTGCAACCGCAATCAATAAAGACGGGGGGCGCCACAGACTACAATCCACTTCTCACCGACTCACGTGCGTCATCTGCATAAGGTGACGTCACTGAAGCGATAGTTTATTTCTTAGAGTTCTGCTGTACAGTTGCTGGCCCAATCTTTTGTGATGGAAATTACAGTTTAAAATTAATAAATACATGATCTTTAACCTTATCTTGAAAGTTCATCTGTGTTTGTAGAAATCATTATGAAGCAAGTTTAAACTGCAACTTCCAACACAAGAAATTGAACTCACCCAAATTTTCAACTGTACAACTCCAGTCTTTGTCAAGGAATAAGCAATCCACCGCCATCTACATCAGGGCATTACAACCATCCCTCAACAGAGACGGGGGGCGCCACAGACTTTCTGCAACCTATGATCCACTGCTCACGGAGTCACGTGTGTTATCTGCGTGACGTCCCGGAAGCGGTGGATTGCTCATTCCTTGACAAAGACTGGAGTTGTACAGTCGAAAATTTTGGCGAGTCCAATTTTTTGTGTGTGTTGGAAATTACAGTTTAAACTTTCTTCATAACGGTCTGTAACGTCTGTAGTTTCTCTGACTTCCTATCCCACCACACCTTGGCGAGGCACAGCGCAGGTGCAGCCGACCTTGACCTTGATGTCCTTGGCCCTGTACTTGACCCTGCCGTTGGAGTCACACCCCCGGCGGTAGAGAACCCTGACCGTGTACGTGAGTGGCACGCTGAGAAGTTTAGTGTCCTCCACTCCCTCGTGAACATTGATGCAGCCGTAACACAGGCACCTGGCCTGGGGGATAGCTGGAAAAGATCGTGCTTCTTTTTATTAAATGCATAAGGCCACGCCAATTTAATTTTTTCGGATAGCCCTGTCCATTTTTTTCTGATTTGCAAAAAAAATTGGTTGTAAAGTAAACGCAAAATGCTCAATGAAAGACATACTTCGGCCCTAACGGTTGACAAAAACCCTTTTCTTCCTAGTTTTTCAAAATTAGAAATTCAAATTGATTGAGTCAAGATTTTAAAATGTAGTAATCTTGTTTTTTCGGCCCGCTTGTTTTTTTTTTTCGCCCGCTCGCATTAGATTTGTAATCTGCGAAGGATGTCATCCTTAAAATTTACTTGTTGTGGCCTTAAGTTTAATATCGTCTGATGATCCAGGAAACGCACGTGGGACTTCCCTTCTCATCACGTGAACGTCACGTGAACAGGTGAGAGAGAGATGGAATAGCCTTGGTAAAAACTCACTCTTACTGCACCCCGAAACTATGAGTCAGGTGACAATTTTCAGTAACTTTCTCCCGTTAGTTTTTTTTTGGGGGGGGGGGGGAGTTGAATAACAATTGAATAAGATTTGGAGTCTGCGGAGGATGTCATCCATAAAATCTACATGCTGTGGCCTTACTTACTTGTGGGAAACCTGTCCGGGTCGTGGTCTATGATATAGTCCCACGGTGCAGTCGCCCGCTCGTTCAGCTGCTGCCACTTCGCGATGACACTGGAGTTGGCTACGGGACAGGTGACCTCCGACCCCGCGTCCTTGGCCTGTGCCAGCCCCTCCAGGTGAGCGGACTTGGACCCGCCCAACTTCCGCCACTTCTGTTTGTCCTTCAGGTCAGAAGCGCACCCTAGCGGTTTTCCCCCGCCTCGCCGCCTGCCTCTTCCTCTTCGTCCTGCGGCTGACGTGTTCTCCAACATCACCATGGTAACCGCCAGGAACAACAGGAGCACGACAACCTTCAGGACGCGGGTAAACAAACAAACAAATAAACAACAACAAAAATACAAACCGTACCATTCTATTGAAACAAAACCACAGTCTATAACTTACTAAGTCCCTGCACACGAATTAATATTTGTACATTTAGCTAGGAATCAGGACTGTTGCATGAACATTTTCGTACATATAAATGTCAGCGTAGAGACCAACAAATTAAATTGGCGTAGCCTAATGTCTGTTTGTATCTAAGAATAAATAAGGCTCAACGTTAATTAAATTACTATGGGTTGAATCTGAAAACAAACAGAGAATGATTTTTTTTAAATATGTGGTTTGTAACGTTACAGAGGTAACGCTATACTGATGCTGTAACGTTACAAACCACATGTTTCATGTTGAAAAGAACACAAAAACTTCATTCTCTATTTGTTGTCAGATTCGGCCCATAGTAATTTGATTAATGTTGAGCATAAAATGCCCCAACACCTCAAAACACAGTGAAAAACAAGCTGTTTAACGTCAACAGGATCATTCCGATGCCTTCTAATCCTATGCAAATGAAGGTTACACCCTTATTTTCGCATTGCATTCTGGGGATGGGAAACTGGTAAATAGGGTTTGCCAGTTCGTCACGACTTACAATTAATGTATTATCGTGACGCAAA